GTATTTAATAAGAATATTTCATTCATTCAGATCTAGGATGTCTTATTGTTGTGTTCCCTTTATTTTTTTGAGCAGTGTATAATATTTTCTAGTATTTCAATTTCATGATTCTTGCATGGGAAACAATTCTACAATTTTTCATTCAAATATTTTTTGTTTGTCTTTGTTGATGTCAATTTATGGCATGACAATTTATAGTATTTTGAATTCATTGTACTACTGTTTATGAGCATTATAAGATCAGTTATAACTAGAATTCGAAGAGACTTAGCAAATCCCATGGGAGCAGAGGAAATAGTCCTGCCCATAAAACTCGGGCACCTGAGTTGGCATAGAACTGGAAAGAACGTAGTTCCTGTATTTAAGCATTCCCAGTACTTTTGAAGTGGCTTTTTCACACATATACACCCAACAATATGAACCACAAGTACTTCAGGCAAAGCAGAAAGCATGTATTAAATAGGGGTCAAGTCTTTATATAAGGTACAGAAACAAATTTGATATGTGTGATGCATCAGAAAGCAACAAATCAAACAACAAATAGCATAAAGTCTTTGTCTTGTTAGATTCGTGAAAAGACCCTCTTAAACTATGTTGCATCTCCTCCTTTCCCATTGGTTTTTTTTTCTGTAACACCTTCTATATATACACACATATACACATACATATGCACATATACACATACATCCATATACATATACAGGGACTTCAGAATATAACCTTATCCTTTCCACAAAGGAAATGGCTTTAACTTATAGAAAAACTTGAAAGCAGTCATGAATGCCTTCTAAAATGCTAACACCTTTATTAAAACAAAGCCTAAAATTCTATTCAGTGATTTCTACTTACAGTGATCCAAATCAATTTGGAATGACATTGAACTGATGATGTTGACACTCCAGTTAAATAGAATAACAAAGTTGGAAGGAATCTTGGAGGTCTTCTAGTCCAATCCCCTGCTCAAGCAGGAGATTAGTTAGATGAGGGAATAGAAGGGGAATTCATCAAATTTTCAGATGACCCTAAGCTGACAAGAATACCCAACACCCTAGAAGACAAGCTCTGGATCCCAAAAGATCTTGACAGATTTGAACAATGGGCCCTATCCTACAAAATGAAATTTAACGTGGAGAAAAGCAAGGTTTTACACTTCGGCAGGAAAAACCAAAGGTACAAGTACAGATTAGGTGAAACCTGGCTCAAAAACAGTAACTACGAGAGGGACCTTGGAGTCCTAGGATCACTTAAATATGAGCCAGCAGTGTGCAGCAACCGCCAGAAAAGCTAATACAATCCTTGGTTATATAAATAGTTGGCATAGAATCAAAATCAGATGAAGAATTAGTACTGCTTTATAAATCCTTAGTAAGACTACACCTGGAATACTGCATCCAATTTTGGTCACATTAAAAAAATACCGGTATGTTGAGACTTCAAAGAAGAGCAACGAAGATTATTAAAGACTTGGAGACAAATATATATGAAGAACTGTTGCAGGAATTGGATATGGGTAGTCTAGAGAAAAGAAGGACTAGGGGTGACATGATAGCAGTATTCCAGTATTTGAGGGGCTGCCACAAAGAAGAGGGGATCTAATTATTTTCCAAAGCACCAGAAGGCAGAACAAGAAACAATGGATGGAAACTAATCAAGGAGAGAAGCAACCTGGACTAAGGAGAAACTTCCTAATAGGGAGAAACAACTTGCCTTCAGAAGTTGCAGGTGCTTCATCACTGGAGGTGTTTAAGAAGAAATTGGAAGCTACCTATCTGAAATAGTACAGGGTCTCCTGCTTGAGCAGGGGGTTGCATTAGAAAACCTCCAAGGTCTCTTCCAGCTTTATTCTGATTGGTTGATTGATATAATATTATTATACAATATTATATGGCATAATAATACGGAATGTTATTAATGGTTATTTTACTATTATATATGGAAGTTATTCCATGTAGCAACACTTCTCAAACAATTTGGTCTCATTCCTAAAAATGATTTCATACAGAAAATGTTTTGGTTTATGTGGGTTAAATCTATCAATATTTTTCTGTATTAGAAATTAAAACTGAGAAATGTTAAAATATTTATTTGATTTTTCAGACATTTTCAGAATTGCCATACCTTACTTCCGTGTCAGTCAAGAAACCTTTTTAATGTTGAAGTAAAATTATCTACTGTGTCAAATATTTCTACTTTTAGAATGAAAGAGTCGCATAATTTAAAAGGGTAGCACCTCTGGAAATTGTTAATAATTGTTGCAGGCTTGTTCTCTCTCTCTCTCTCTCTCTCTGTGTGTGTGTGTGTGTGTGTGTGTAATATACAAAATATATAAATGTACAAAATGTTTTATACACACACACACACACACACACACACACACACACACACACACACATTATGTAAAACATTTTGTACATAAAATATTGTATATGCCAGCCTTGATTTGAGTTAAATTAGTTGCTGGAATTATTCACAATTAGAGTCTAGTTTTAGTGTTATTATTGCTTTCATTTTGTAAACAAATGTATTTATTTCAGATTACAATTCCTGGTAATGTTAGACTTAGATCTATTTGTTGGAGCAAAGACCAAGGTTATATAGCCTGTGGAGGTGAAGATGGTCTACTGAAAGTTTTAAAGTTAGAAACAAAAACAGGTAAATGACATTTGCATCAATATAACTTTGTTGGCAAGTAGAGTATACAGTGACTTTTTTTCTTTTTTGCTGTGTTGTAACTTGTTCATCTTGTTCTCTCCATGCATTACTCACATTATTTGTTCTAGGAAAATCCCACAATCTCTGTTATAGTCTAATCTTCCAGTATTTTGGAACATTACTATAACTAACCTGAACAGTACGAAATGTATTTGAGACACATTTTGTTGAGACAGATTTTATTAAAATTCCATGTATATTTACATAACAGAGTTAGGTAACTTGCATTTTTCTATTCATATAGAGTACAGGTAGTCCCCACTTCAGGTCTGTTCTGTGACTATTTAACATTATGAATGTGGTGGGGGAAAAATGGAATTGTGACAGGTCATTATGACCATCGTAGCGCCCCTACAGTCACATAATAAAAAGATTGAGCCAAACCGAATTTATGATCACACATACCCGCCACTCCTGCCACCTCCCCCAACAGATGATCATATTCACCTGCCTCCTTCTGCTGGGCTCCCCATTCTGGCCATGCATTGGGGGGGCTACCATAGCTCTGAGGCTAATTGTACCCTCACACAGCTTCTTTTACCCAGCAACAGGCATCCCCAAACCTACTATTCCTAGCCAATCACCTGCTCACCCTCACAGACCATCTTCCACCTAGCAGGAGCCACTTACTTGCCTCTTTGCAAATCACGTGGGACTTGCAACTTCCTGTTGGCTTCCCTACTGATTTTGGTCATGGGAAGACCAAAACTATGACACATTACTTCATAGCAGAAATTCCAGTCCCTATTGCGTTGTTACTGAGGTCTACCTGTATGCAAAATTGGCACGATTATGAGAGGCCTGAATATGACATACTCAATATCAAAGGTATGAATAAAGGATATATCTTTTCTAGGTTATAGAGTTGTTGAGGATTTTTCATTAAAGCTTAATAAGATCTTAATATAATTGATAACAAGGAATATGTTATATAGATCTCATTGTTGTGACCATTGTTTTTATCCTTTGATCAAAATACTGTTTAAAAAAAAAATACAAAGAGAATTTGGATTTGGGATTTCAATTTCTTTTTAATGAACAAAAGAGGAATTTCAGTTCCGTTGGAGTTCCTGCTTGCTGCTCATCAGTTTCTGCAGGACATACAAAAGTTAAATATTATGATTAATTGAAAGGGGGCACCATTTAGGGAAAAAGTAAGCTAGTAAAAATGATAAATGCTAGTTTATTTAGGATTTATGTCTTACGATTTTTGTTTTTAGATGAAGCCAAATTAAAAGGACTTGCTGCACCTAGCAATCTCTCAATGAATCAGACACTTGAGGGCCATACAGGTAAGAGTTACTACTGTTCCGTAAAATCAAATTGCTTTTTCACGAATTTGTTCAGAAAATGATGCAGTTTCAGTGATGAACTTTCAATTTCTGCTAGATAAATTGCAGTGAATTTCTTGGGATATAATTTTGAACTGACATGCTTAGAAATAAAACTGGCAGCCAGTGCAGCTCACAAACCAATGGTGTAACATGGCATTCTAGGAGCTTCAAAGACTGCTGGTGCTGCCACACTTTGTATTAATTGAAACTTTGAATACATTTGAAGGGTAGCCCGATGTAAAGCATGTTACAGTAACCCAGACAAGATGAACTAGGTCTTGAATGACCAAGCATAGGGAGTTTTGATCCAGGAAAGGCTAAGACTGGTGCACAAACCAAACCTTTGCAAAGGCTCCCCTAGCCACAACTGCCACCTGTTCATCAAGCAGGAGTCGCGAGTCCAGGAGAATCCCTAAGTTGCAAAGTGGGTCTGAATGGGTCTTTATGTATAATGTTTATTTTTAATAGAAAGCACATTACCTTTTTCCCCAAATAAACTTTTTGTTACTAGTGTAACAACAACAGTTGTCAACAGTTTCGCTATACAATTTTATAGGTGCTGTGCAAGTAGTGACTTGGAATGAACAGTATCAAAAGCTAACTAGTAGTGATGAGCACGGACTTATTATAGTGTGGATGCTGTATAAAGGTAGGTGACTTGCTAGAGAACAGCTATTACATATTTCTGGAATTTCAATTCGTAGTTGGCTCAGAGATTTCTACAGAATAGCTTTGGCTCTTTAGTTGTAGACTAAAAGATTCTAAAAAGAATTATTTGTTCCCCCCAAATTAATATGGCAATTTATTCTTTATATTAATATCATGTTGACCTTCTTACCAACTAAATATATTGCTCTGGCCCCATGGTTTGTTGATACTAGAATATTAGGGAAGCTTCTTCAGTTTCCCAGCCTCTGTATATTAGGAGCAAAGTATGAAAAACCACAGACACCCAGATGAAATCTAGAGCTGCATGAGCTTTTTAAGAAAACCTGAAAAACATAAACAAAAATACATTATTACATATACATCAAAACTTCCTTTTGCTAGGGAAGAGGAATAGAAGAGCAGTTTTTAAGACCTGCTTCCTTGCCACCTCCAGTTCTCATTGTTGGAATATTCTTCAGAGCAACTTCATGGCAGTGACACAATAACCATGAATCAATGTCCAGCTCAATAGAAATTACTGAGTTTGCAAATAATTCCTTTTGGATTACTTTCAATAAGAACAGTTCAGATGAAAAATAAAGTGTGGTAGATATGGATGATTTATTTTCCTCTTTGGTTTTAGGTGCTTGGTATGAAGAGATGATCAACAATAGAAATAAATCAGTGGTTAGAAGCATGAGATGGAATGCTGATGGGCAGAAAATTTGCATCATATATGAAGATGGTGCTGTAATTGTTGGTTCTGTAGATGGTAAAGTACTACTTATGCTAATAGAATATACAGTTTTTAAAAAGTTTAATAACTCGTATAGTGTAGTTCCCTTCAGAAATCATTCCCTTGCATAATTGCCCTGTTAGCTCCAGAGCTGAAGAAACTTCATAGATGAGAAGTGAAATGTCTTTTTAAAAAAAAAAACCAGCAAGTCCTTTTACCTCTTCAAAAAGCACCTTTGGGACAACCATGACCTGGATGACCGAGAATCACCATAGACATTCAGCTGAATGCATTTAAGATCTTCCCAATAGCTGTAATTTTCAGGTTATGTAGGATTTGAAAACTTATTTCAACAACTCTGCAGTTTTCTATCAGGTCTTTCTGTTTAATATACAAAGCTGAGGGGGGGGAGTCCCCCAAAGTGTAGGGGACATGAATGTTCATACGTCCAGAATACGTTCATACGTCCAGCAGAAGAGGTTAAACCATGTATTCCCACATACCCCTTCAAACATTTCCATTCCAAGAAACGTTACCATTTTGGAGAGTGATTGCTCTCCAAAAAGAATATGCCACTATTATTCAATAACTTAGACTCACTGGGCAATATCTGACCATAGAGAAGGATTTTCCATATATTTTATTTTATCATTTGTTTCCATATTAAAGGAAACATCTGAAATTAAATCACATGTAAGTTTTGCTTTCCCAATACATGAATATCATTTCTAAATAACCCAATTAGCTTTATTAAAATATAGACAGGCATATATTTATGTTAATGTATAATTATGAGGATGTACCATATCGGGTGAAAAATAAAGCCAAAATAATATGATTTTATTACAATTCCATTTCAGTTGTTGACACACATTCTTAAAGCAGTTAGTGTCCTAATTCAGTTAATCTCCAGTTTAGTCACTGAAAGGAACAGAGTTGTGTTCTAAGAATGGAACCTTCCTGTGTTCCATGATCCCTTATGTTGTTATTTTTTACACAATACTGAGCGAGATGATCTTCTGGTATGCAACAACACAGCACAAAAAAGAAAGCTGAAAAATAGTTTTATCAACAGCAAGAATCACATATTTGGATCCAAGTTTATATATTCAAGAATGTATATCAGTAATTTTGAAATGGTAGAGCTTAGAGTGAGGCATTGAGAAAAGAAAAATAAAGCTTTCATTCCTGTTTAAGAGATAAAATTCTTTGTAAATTTCCATTTTTAATATTTTCAGTTTTGAACATTTTGTTCTAGTTGTGAGATGCATTGAACTTATTTTCCTTTAAAAGGGAATCGTATCTGGGGAAAGGATTTAAAAGTACAGCTTCACCATGTTGCATGGTCTCCAGATGGTAGAACTCTGCTCTTTGGAATGGCCAATGGGGAAATACACATTTATGACAAAAATGGGACTTTTATGGTAAGTTTAGAGATATATTCTACTAAGTAGTCACCTTTTGGAAACATTGGTATCCAGTTGTCAGAAAGGTTTTTCTAAGCATTCCAGCCCAACCTACAGTGGAAGAATATAAAATCATGGTTTTTAATTCTGCAATTGCAGAGTTTAAAAAGAGTTTTTCAAACATCACAGGGATTTAAAGTAGTATATTATACTATTTAATATAGCACAATACAGGGCTGATAATTAGCCTATTTGTGAAGTTGATTTAAGGGATATCAACTTGATTTGTGAACTGTAGCTATTTCTTATAATACATATTTTTGTGTGTATGTGTGTGTGTGTGTGTGTGTGTGTATGTATATATACACTGCTCAAAAAAATGAACACAAAAATAAGACATCCTAGATCTGAATGAATGAAATATTCTTATTAAATAC